TTTCAATTAAATTGACCAGGGTATAGAATACTCTGATACAAAACCTCCAAAGCTTTTTTCTCAAAACACAGTTACGAGGCTTCAATCATCATTAACCCTTTTCAAAATTACGTCGACCCCCAGGGGGTCCATTACCGATCCCCGGCTGTGCGCCCATGTTTTATTGACTCAGACGACGAAAGGATGGGGATGTAGAGTGGGCGTCTTTCCTAAAAGCGACGCCGATGAGAATACCGTGACAGGAAAGGGTATCAAGAGGCTGATGACTGACAACACAATGGGAGAGGGCCCTGGAAACATACCGCGACCCACTGTGGTCCACCAAAACATTTTCACAAACCGGGATTCAAACAGCAGGGTCCCTCACAAACTTTACTACTTAACATTGACAACTGACAACGAAAAGTTGAATAGTTAAAAGGTAACCCACTTTCCTTGCCGCGTTCCTGACAATTAATCTCACTCCAATGAATATTGAAGTGTGAATCACTCTCAGCAATCTTGGGTATATTTGATATCTTCTTTTTCTGTATACATTCGACTCACTAGATTGAAAGTTCAATCGCAAAACATTTCTAGTACAATAACAAATCGATACCTACAGGCGATGCGGATGTGTCATATTTTAAACTTTATTACACGACTCAAATGTGCATATACAGTTTGAAGTTATGTTTTAGTTTTGAATGCATTAACATAATTCACGTTTGTATACGCTTACAAGGATAACATTATCAAATTTTGGTTATCTCTCGTTGATGAAGAAAAAAGTTAACTTATGTTTCAAAATACGGAACGACACCTCTCACAAGGAAAAGCCACATTGGTGAAATCGATAACATGGTCGATACATTTAGTGAGGCAAAAATGTAAACCTGGAAGAAAAATATTATTTTCTCTAGAAAATGAAGGATATGATGCAACATCACTAGTTTAACAAAACTATTCCACTCGTAAAATTAAAACCAGTAGCGTTTAACTATACATACAAAATGCCCCAATCAGGGTGGTATATCTTCAAAGGTTTATCGCTTTTTCTATCCTATTTTTCTTGCGTCCTCAACCTACTGGCCAATCATAAACTGCGACTCATCTATCATAGGTGTTGTACATCGTTCGATATGTATAACACGTGTTCACGATGTCCTATAGACAGCGTATAACATAACCTCTGATTTCAACATACGCTTTCAGTTATTTTCAATATTTGGCACATTTAGAAACTCTGTTGGACATAATTTCATTGGTGGAGTAGTCCTATTAAATACACGCGTGCTTTGGAAATTCTCAGATAAATACCCTCCTCGCTTCGCGAGTCGAGAATTTATCGACAATTTCCAAAGCGCTTGTGGTTACCCTATGATAATTTTATCGTTTCTTACGTACTTCACTGGTCTAGGTGCCTAGCGAGTTGACATGAAGGTCGTGATAAGAGGATTATTACGGGACTATCCTGAAGATTACGCTTTAAACATGGCGGAGTCAAAGCAAACAAAGAAAACATGTTTTAAAATCATCTTCTTCAGTCTTATTACTTTTTCAACGAACCGATAGCAGTAAGGTTTTGTTTTCAGGTGACGTTTCACAGAAATTCAACAGACAATAAAATTGTATATCTTCATTCAGAGATATAAAGTCCCCGACTACGTTTTACGTGAGAAATTTCATGGAATGGTCAAGGAATCTTTAACAACTGAAAACAACTTTCAATTATACGCGAGCGTGTGGAAAAAATATTCATATATTGTTTTGTTTACAATATGCCTAAAAAGTGCCTACGACACTAAAGATGCTGGGAGTTGTAAAAACCGCCATTTTTTTTAAATTTTTAGGAAGAAAATTATCATTATTAAACAGATTAATCCCGTTCGATATTTTAGGTAACTCGTCTAGTAAAATATAATAAATGTAAATATTTATATATTTTTCTACGCTTGTACACTTTCCCAAAAGTAAACGCTGGTTCTAGAATAAAGAGCCTCAAACATAATGCCGCCTAACAAACAAACTGGAAACTTGTTTTCTGCACTGTTGACAACAGGTTTCAAAGAGTTTAAATATATCTTGTAAATGCAACTAAAAATATAGACCTTCTCAGAAAAATAATTTGTCAACACAGAAAAAAGCAAATTGAGCCTGTATCATTCATTGCTACTTTCACACCATTTTTATGCTTTCACGCACTCTAATTAACAGGATACACGTGTTTCCGTTCTTCAAAAACACCGTTCGTGTTTACAATTGCTGCAGATCAGTGAACCGCGCCTGCTTTATTATGAAAATACAGTAGTAGTTTTCACTCAGCACGTAGGCACAATTTAAATGAGAAGTACTGATAATAACATCTCCTTCATAAGCCGTCAACAGTAATTCTGCTTAGTCATATCTAAACACTACAAATCTTTAATTTGTTTCTTGTTTTCGTTATCAACGTATTTCCAATCTTTCATCAGTCGCAATACATCAGCGACGGATATGATAACAATGATTCACTCTGACAGCGATGGTTTCTTCGCTAACGAAGATAAATTAATATTACTTAAATGATTAATGAAAATTAACAATGAAAATGAAAATTACTTTTATGTTAGGTATTTCCTCTAAAACAAAAATGTTCAAAATTTCATTCTTAAAACTAGTGGTGCTACAGAATGGCACAGACTTTATCGTATGAGTTTTTTCTATATTTTTTCTCTGGTCAAGCTATTCGGACTTGCCACATACTCTTGCCAGCTGCCAAAGTACACATTTTAAAACATTTTCCTTTTTTTCCCTAATAGTGGAACTGAAATATTAGTTTAAGAATATTATATAAGAGCAAAAACTGGTCATAAATAGCAATTTTCATTGAAAAACTGGGAGCAGTTTTTGAGAAAATTGAGTTTAAGCGCGACCGTAAATTCAAAATTTCATGCTCTTTTCCACAGAAATGTTTTGAGTTTTCGAAAACCTACATTTGAAATCATTTGACACACTTTAACCCACAAATATAATAGTGTTTACAAATCACTTGAAATGTGCATATTAACGGCGATAGAAATCTTGCAAAAAAAATATATTTTGATAATTTTTGAAAAATCACAATAATACTCCAAAATGAACATTATATCATATTAAAGAGTGCAACTAGCACTATCGGTTCCAAAAGTTTGAAAATATATTTTGGAGCCGTTTTTGACAAAAATGGCGTTTGAGCGTTTCTGAAAATGCGGAGCATCTTTTTTCACAGAAAACGTTTCGAGAGAAACAGATATTATGTAAAGCCAATGTACTCATAAATATAATAATGTGAACAAACCGCTGCTAATGAAAATATTAACGACGCGAGAGACAAGTAAAAAAATATTTTACATTTTCTGAAAAAACAAAAGAATAGAGCAATATAGCATTCATGTCATCTCATATAGAACATTTAGAGCCATCCCTAACAAACGTTTACAGAAAAATATTGAAGTCGTTATTAAGAAACTTGTGTTTGATATTTTTGAAAATTCCACAATATTGCGCGAAAACTACTAAAATTATGTACATGATCTTAATAAAATAACTCACTATAGAGAACAAATTTTATTGGAAAGAAAAATCTTCAATTTTGAACTTGTAGGAAGTCGTCCGAAAAATGTTAATATTTTGAAATTATCGAAAATTCAGAGTTACCCCTGAAAATGTGCCACATATACAAGTTTACTTTACTCTATTTTCAAAAGACATTTAAAGAAAAAAATTGGAGACAATTTTGAGAAAATTTTGAAAATTTCCGATGGGATTTATGTTAAGTACCCCCAAATTTTCAAGAAAGTTTTTCAAAATCGCAGCACCTGGAGTGCCTCGAACCAAATACACTGGGGAATATCCATTTGAAAAAATCCTATGTAGGGTTTAGGCGTTAACAGTGATCACAGAAAGACAGACGTTTTGAAAAAAGTCAATTTTTCGTTATCAGGGGGACACCAAAACTTGTATTTCCATTACATCTCGAAAAAGATTTTCCGCAGCATTATATAACTTTCGCTATACTACGCACATAATACTCTGTATAATTGTATGTATACGGGAAAATAAAAAGAAAGATACCCTCAGAAACGCAATTGTGCGTTTCGGTCTGATAGGGAACCGACTCCTTCTAGAACATTGTACGAAAATTATCAGAAAACGCGTTTTTTTGGGGGGGGGGTGAGTTAGCACCTGAAACACGTAATGGGAGATTTTTAATGCAATTCTACTGATAATGTATCATTGCATCCCTTGTGGCCAGAGGAATTGCCCCGGTTTGGCGCTGTTTTTAGCCGGATCCTTGTAGAACAGTGTTGTCCAAGTGGAAGTCCAGGGGACGCATGCGGCCCGCGAAAGGTTATTAGTTTAATGTAAAAGACTCTTTGATCCATTTTGGGCAAAAACACTGCGCCTAGCATACGCGCTACGGATTAAGATGCCCCTTTATTGTAAAAAAATAGGTTATGTTTAATTTAAGAATTATTCACTAGTAGTTTCAGATATTCAAAATCATCCCATTGCGTAGAATCAGTTCCTTCAATTCTCAGGCAAATGGTCAATTTATGGTAAAAATTTCCAGCAGATCACATGCAGGCTCGAGACTAAACAATTGGGATCATGCAGAGAATGAGATGATGCAGGTCTCGCCCAAAATAAGTTATGCGGAATACGAACGTGATGCATAGTCTGATAGATTTCGGGCTACTATTCGTTGCTGTGTTTGTTGATTTAATTTGTGTCTCTTAGTGCATATTTGTAAGTTCATTTTCTTCTGGTTAAATTAAAATATATTCCGGAAGTTATTTTAGAAATTTCATTTACACTCCTGTTTCAATGTAATTTACACTCCTGTTTTCAATAACTGTGTATGTATTGTATTACAGAGAGAATGAAAAAACGGACCTCTCGCTCTCTCTGTGAATTAAAACGCGTGAAAGATACTTTGATCGATTTTTATTCGATACAAAATGGAGATCAGTTGTGATTCGAAATAATGAAAGTCTTACGTTCGTAGCGATTTTTGAAATGTATCCATATCATGTTTTGCAAATCAAAAATCATAAAACTGGATTCCACTTGATTCCCGATACTTGAGAATGTAATTATACCTTCAATTATATCATTCATTTTTTTCTCAGCGTACTGTTGGGCATCTATTACACTGTAATTATAATTTTTAGTTTTAATTACAGTGAGATTTATAATTAAATATAGTAGTAGAAATGTATAATGCATTTTAAGTCTAGTTTTTCAGAACAATGGAAAGTGAGGTAGGGCGATGTGCCTCAAAGAAAGTAATAACTCTTCATTATTTATAATATTGTATGTAATATTATTTGTTTGATCAATTTTACGTGTATTACATTTGCTGATCGTGTTTAATTCGTTCAAGCATTAGTATCTCATCACAACGTATTATTGGTGTCATGTAATAGTGAACAGTTGTGATCATATAATTTCATTGACTTTATTAGTAATTAGTGACATGAAAAATTGCATCTGCTAAATAGGCAATATTTAAAATCACATAAGAACGAAGGTGGATGAGAGTTACTTTTACTCCCTTTGATTCCAGTTTTGTTAATTTAGTTAGATTTTATTTCTGTCAGCTACCACGGCTACCAGGTCACCTAATTAAAATACATAACATAGCAACTGGCATTTTTTATGTTTTCATTTTAAATGTTCTCCAAATAAATATCATGATTCACCTAAAACATTGATCAGTAGCTAATTTCTAAAGTAGCTTTATAATCAGAGAAGTTTACTTTCTAAAATGTTTTAACATAGAAAATCTACTAGAATAATATATAAGTTGTGGAACTTAAAAAAGAAAATGATGCACTCAAACCATAAAATTCAAGTATATGTAAGTGTTATGAGGCAATATTTTAACTTCTAAGACCGCTTGAACTACTATAGAATATGCTACGGATAAAAAGTAAGAAATTTGTAATGTTACCATGTTGTAAAAACAAAAAATACCTGACGATTGAGATTTAAAGGAAACATATTAATATTTTGGAGATAATTTTTGAATACACTGAATATTTTCGAGATTTTAAAGAAGGTAAGGTTTAGGAGGGGGTGATAAAAAAGGACAACACAAAATGTTCACATAGTCGAGAGACGCAGAATTCCAGAAATTATTGCAGAGTAATGTATTCTTTTTAATTGTTGATAGTATAATTTTTGAAACTGAGATGAGTTTTATAATAAAATATGTTACAACACAAGAGTTTTTTTTATAATCCACAAACCTCATTGAACAACTACAATCACATTCGTAAAATGCGCTCTCAGAACACAACTATTATAAAAATAATCCCTGAGCTACTCACTACTACCAAACTCAACTAGTTACCTTTCGTAGGTTCTAGAGTGAAATTTAAACGAAAATTATAGAACTTCAAAAATTTGGCTAAAACCCTGTACGATACTTGTATTGTTACACATGATTTCACAAACCGATTTGTTATAATACTCAACTTCACGGCCCGGATTGATCATTCTCCAACATCGTTTTGTGAAAATATGTCTTACGACAATTCTTTCGCAAGTAACTAACAAACACATTCCGGTTTCAAAGACGAGTATCTTTCTCCTACGACGAAGGGGAGGGGACGACGTATTTGGGGTATTCATTCCCGTCGCGGCGCTCAGCGCTGCACAACGACCCAGGAAATGACACGCAGCACGCCACGCGCGTCCGCCGCTACGCGAAAGCGTGAACGCTTCCTATCGCAAGGGCTCACACAACTGGCATGGACTGCGTAGAACAATAGAGGTGCGAACTACATTTCTGGGACCCTTTTCTTTTATTTTACACAGGCCATTTTTTTATTAGCCAACTGCACATCCCAGTAAGGCAATGGCCTCCTGATCACGCTCGGTATTTATTAATCCTTCTTTAATGAAGTGATAGGATGATAATGAAAAGTGAAAGGACGATCACAATCCATCCGCGCCCGAAGCGGGATTCGAACCCGTGATCCTTCGACCCGAGAACGCCACGACACTACTGTCTGAGCGATCTGGGCTATCCGGATCGAGATGACATATTTTACTAGTAAATATATATATATATATATATATATATATATATATATATATATATATATATATATATTGACATACAACTGAAAAATAATGAAATTAATTCTTACGTTATGCAATTGAGAAATTGATTTTATCCTCTCAAGTATATTTCCGTCAAGATCTAGACATCGACCGTTTTTTGAAGAATTGCCTACGTACTTTATATTACGTACAGTTCAAGAAAGAAAAATAAAAGCCACATTGAGTTAAAATTGACCCGAAAAATAGAATTAAATAAAAATTAAGACATGTTATAAAATAGTGCTGCTCTACAAGAACATACTTTCTCGCTATTTCTAACTTTTGCAATTTTCAGCAACTGGGAAAATTCAAGGAAAGTTACGCCTGCGCCATTTTTCGGCGTCCATTACTGTCTCCGAGCAAAAAAACTTAAAAGACAGCCTATTGTCGTTCCTTGGAAGAGATCGATCGAACAATGACCTTTAGATTGCATACCGCATAGCAGTACATGTCGATGTCACCGTAGTCGCGTGAGTGTCTGAGTGAGTGGATGAGCGAGTGAGTGGATGAACGAATGAGCGAGTGAGCGAGTGAATGAGCGTGTGAGCGAGTGAATGTATTCCGAGCACGTCAACTACTATGGTCATTACTGCCTTTAGGGTTGCGAAAGTTTTTATATCTGAAGGTAGCGGAATTCCTCTCCCGCAGGATGATGAGATCCGATGCCGTCCCTCACCCTATCTTGCGATTCCCCTTCCAAACATCTCTACTATATCGCTCATCCCAGCCAGGACAAGCTCTGCATTCCCGGTATATACGATAACGTCGTGCGTATAAGTGTGTGTGTGTAATTGGAGAGTTCAGGATAATGACAAGAAAGGCAACATCTCGGCCGGCCCGTGACCCGTTTGCTAAGTACCGCTCCGGCCTTCGCGTGAAACCGACAGGAGAAATCTCGACCAACTACAGACCCGCCGCTCGCGCAAAAATTCTCTATCGGATTAGACTGAATTCGACCAAGCCCTACATCTCGAACATCTGCCATCGTCGGAACTCGAACCCTAGGACCTCTGGAAAGAGTCGCTGCCAACAGAGCCGAAGATAATGCAAACAGGCGCCGTCGGCGTGAGACATCCCTGACCTACGCCCGGCGGCGCGGCAGCCTAGGCTGGAGGTGCGTGCTATCGCAGATACGCGCCTGCGCCGCCCAGGCACTCGGCCGCCAAGGGCGCAGGAGGCTGATTGCGAGCGCCTACGCGAGGCGCCGCCACCGTCGCGGGGCCGTAATTCGCGCTGATAACGGCTGGAGGGAGGAGAACATCACAATAGACGTCGCCAGGTGATTCTTTAAGTGTCACCTGCTCTTGAAATCAAGGTCATTCTGCAGTTTACACAACGCGACCTCGAAGATCTGGTTAGGTGGAAGAGGAGGGGGGGTAAAATAAAGCCGTCAAGGAAAAAAAACACGTATTCAGCTGTGTGTGTGGGCAAGTCTGTGAAGAGCCGCCAAGTTAAAATCATGCGTATATCTGAGTACTAGAAACGAACTGTGCATGCCAGTGGTTTCCAACCTCTTTCTCCTCATGGCTAATTTCAAAAAAACAAAATAAATTGCGCGATCGTTATTAATTCATTTATAAAAGAAAAGGCAAATAAAGCGGTAGTTCAACCGACAAAACACGAACACAAAAAGTAATATACTAAAACATTCATTTCAGAAAGCTGATAACAAAATTGAATTATCGCAAATGTCACTGAGTACCAAGTGATTTGTAGCTAACAACTCGCTTCGGTATTTTTAATTAAAATGTAAGATGTATTTTTACCTTTTATGTTTGGGATATAAAATTTAGCCTTCATAGTATTAACTTCGCTAACCCCTTGAGGATGCAAAAACAACTGAATGGTAACCGCCAATCAACTAGAACGTACAATGTCAAGAGAATTCAATACAAAGGCAAACTGCGGTATTTTTTTCTTACACAACATCGGGTAAGAGTTCCCAATTTGAAATTTTGCTTCAATTCATAATTAGAGTTAGTTCGTGAGCACCACTTGTCATAGGGATTAGGGATGTTATATTCTGTTTGAATCTTACTCATTTAGGATATGCAAGTACATACTCGTAGAATCATTAAAGAAATAGTAACATACATGTTACAAATTCTGAAATGGGTGTTATCAAGCTAGTAAATTGGTTAACTGAATCGACCCTTGAAGTTATCTTGTTGCTCCAGTTACTAATTACTTGCAGTCACGCAGAAATGAAAAAAGTACTACTTGGCGTGGGCATGACGCCCACATTCCGAGATCTTGCTCAGACTAGTTATAAAATGGTCACACAATTCTCACTACCGTGAGACACGACGAAGAGACTTAATATTCTGTACTTAATACTGTACTGTCTTAAAACTATCTCTAAGCTTTGTGTTCTACTCATTGACAGAAAATATTAGCAACAGTGGAATTCGAAACTACATCTTGTCTCTCACTAACCTTAGAAAGTTACCACCAGCAGTCTGATCCCTGTTAATCACATATTATCTGGGATATTTCGTTACTATGATGTACTACTTCATCCACCATAAACATCTCATGCAGTTTTCTTTACTTCATCCGGCTAAAGACCGAAGTATGTTTCAAAGCTATTCCCACTTCGGATTTTCTCAATCAGTTTTGGACAAGGTTAATATTAACCAAACCGCCTTGATCAAATTAATGTATGACTGACTGATCGGGTTATAATTTCCGGAGAGTTGTTTAGCACACACGTGATGAGGAGCGTGTTAGAAAATTATTTGCCTAAGTGAAACGCACCAAAGGTCTACATTTTTTACAATTCATGGAAAATGGTTTACAACACACAAGGTGATGAATACGTAAGCACTTTGAACTTTTCTATTTCCCATTAACCACCCACGTTCTGCATTATTTTTTCCATTTCTAGCCAAAATTACTGTTATATTTTTTAAACTGTTCAGAATGAGATAATGTATAGTAATCGTAAGTAAAATTGTCACTTGTGCGAACTACTTAGTAGATCCGAAAGAACACTTATTTTCTGATTACATTCTTTCTTCTCTCCAGGAGTTAG